GTTACGATTTCGATAACGGTTTCTTTCGGGATTTCTGTTGAGCAAAATCTTCTATTATAGGCATAGTATAAGCCTTGTAAATACCTTCTGACTACTGATTTGTGAAAAAAGTGTAATGTGCCCGACAAAAATGTTTTGAGAATAAACGTGTGAGAGAAATTGTCGGTCTTTCGGGGCCCCCTGAGAATGGGGGCCCTGGGCACGGGCCCCGTGTGCCCTTATGGTAAAGACGGTATTGGCTATCGTTTCCTTTAACTCAATATCAGAGTAGAGTAGCGTTCGTTTTTGCAGTAGCGAAATCCTTGTGAGCGCAATTCAGACTATTACCGAGTTTCTTTTACTCGCTAACAGATTTTGTTACAAGTTTAATTAGGTTTTTTTTTCTTTTTATAATTTTCTATCAGATAGTTGATATGTATGAGACACACGACGTATTGAAATATCCATAAAATTATTGAAACAAAATAACCATTCAAAAGGTATCCACTTCTATCACCTTAAAATCGTTTTATCCAACAGAATACGATACTAAATATATTCCAAAAGGCACTTATTTTTGAAATTATTATCGTATAAACCGTTTCTATCGAAACATTCTATTGATTTAAGAATCATCAAATTTCAATATGAATTATGTGCAGCTGTGTGTTATATCTTCATGTCCCGTTACTCTTAAATTATGTTACAGTCACTAAATGATTTAAAATGCAAGAAACTACACCTGTATGTATTAGTTTACTGTTAACCTAGAAAACTTTTAGCCTTATCTAAATTTTATCTTATTAAGAGTTGAAGGCGATTATCATCGAACCCAATTTTCTCGCATCACAAGCAATCGGTCCGATTGATTGATTGATGGTATAACATCTTGGGAATCCACACCATTAGGTCTATTTATCAGCCTGACATAGGCTTCTCACAAGCCAGGCCATGACGGCCAGCCCTGCGCTCTCTATGTTCAGCGGATTCCCGCAACCTTCGATAGGTTTTCGGACCACCTTGTTGGAGACCTACACACGCTACGTCACGGTTGCTACCTTCTTATTCTAGCTTTTTTGAAACTAATATATCCGTTACAATTGTAACTACGGCCTCATGTCTCAAGCTGCTTAGCACCATACATTTAAAGTATACTTATATGCTTCAGTTAAGAAATCCTTTATACTGGACGCAGCAGAACTATAAACTTATGCGATGAACAGTATTTAACTATGTCACGCCGTTAAACCAAATAATAGCCCATTAGCGATTGGCAAAAAAAAATTATCCACTGTGGTACAAATTAGTGGTTCACAGTACTTTATCATTGCGTTATGTTTATCATGAACATTTTTAAAATTGTAACAGAAGTCAAATGCCTAGCTTATGAACACTTCATACATACTTCGCTCGATTGCAGGAATAGTAATTAAAAGTTTTTATTGTGATTGCATTATTTCCGACGTTTACAGTACGTTTACGATACGTGATCGCGAAGAATGACTTCTCTCAGCCATTAGAACACTATCGATACAACTGGAACATTCGAGAATGTTGTGGTTGTTTCGATATCCGTTTTTGTTATTTGACGACAGCTAGCGTTACTCGTACCGAGATAACGCTCACAGAAATCGTAAAAGTAGTTCTAATCGTGTCCAAGATACGCGGAGACCGGAGATTTATTTTTAAAGGCTAAAATTTCAGATACCAAAAAAGTAAAGACAATCTCCCTTGAAAATGAGTTTAGATTAATTTTTATAAAAAAAGAATATGAAGCTATTTTAAATAATATAAAAAATAAAAAGAAGAATATAAATGAATTGCTGTTCGTTAGTCTCGCTAAAACCCGAGAACGGCTGGACCGATTTGACTAATTTTGGTCTTGAATTATTTGTGGAAATCCAGAGAAGGTTTAAAAGGTAAATAAATATGAAAATGCTCGGAATTAAATAAAAATTACAATTTTGTTTTTCGTTCATTGTGTCCTCCGTCGGACGGATTCCTTTTGTTTGTTTTAAGTTTATTTTATACAAAAGTTTAGGTCTTTCATTTACCGATTGAGGCACTACGAAGTCTGCCGGGTCAGCTAGTTTAAAATAAAAATATTGGACCAAAATTAATAAAGTTGATTCTAATATTAGGGGCGGCGCGATAAACAGGGCTTAGGGCGGCGTCAAGCCTTAATCCATCATTGATTGGATGGACAGGGCTTGAAAAAGAAGATGTCATGTTTAGGCATGAACGAAAACTACTATTCCGAAACGTACTACGTTTAACGCTATCTAGAGTCAACGACTGTGACATCCGTTTCGTGTTTGCCATTCAAGGCAAGTTATATCAGTTTAATTACCTACTCACTATCATTAGCTTAGTAAGTAACCGAATTTATGTAACACATACTATACGTTCATGAATAACCTAATGATTCGTCGTCCGTGGTAGATTAGCGCTTTGCAGTCCGCAAGTCGTGTAAAAATTTATTCGCTTGGCGTCGGTAGCGCTGATTCTCATTACTTTGATTATCGCCGTCCGTTTTTTTTAACCACGTCATCTCGGATTCTCCCGATTCACTAACGATGCTTTTCGGTATCCCAAGCACCGGTCATCGTTCTCGTCGAACCCGTCACTTGCGACGAAGGACTCGGCGAGTAAATTAACCCATAGACACAGCCCACTGAGTTTCTCGCCAGATCTTCTCAGTGGGTCGCGTTTCCGATCCGTTGGTATACTCTGTGAAGCACGACTCTTGCTAAAGTTCGTGTTAGCAACATCGTCAGGTTTGAGCCCCGTGAGCTCACCTACTAGCACGTTGACGCTGATATGGTCCCCTAGACCATCAGCTTAGGTAGGAAAAAAATTCTCATTGTGATGTTTATGTACTCCGGAAAACACTTATCACCAGACGCGCATTGAGTTCTTCCAACCGTATATATAAAAAAAACTGTGAATATAAATAAGTGCACTAGGAATAGGTGCAGAGGTTTTGGAGATCAGTGAAGACAAACAAACAGACACTTCATTTTTATTTAAGTAAAATATGCCGGCAACAGAAATGGATTCAGATTAATTATATTTTTCGAATTTAATCGTTTGCCAACGTAAAAATTTCCAATGATATAAGCCATATTATAGTATACATATATATAACTTTAAAATAGATTGCATATAGACTTAAATGAATGCAAATAAAATAAAATTAGATTTTGTAATATTTCGAATTTCCATGCAAATATGCAATTCAATGATATATTACATTGGGCAACAGCAACCTTAGAGTTCGAATAATCTATACTTAATGTTATAAATTTGAAAGTTTGTCTGTTTATTTCTCAAGTCAATTTCACGAAAATGGCAGAACGAATTTATATGAAATTTCGCACGAAGACAGATTCTCTTCTTCTTTTTCTCCACCTTATACCCCACCCCACTAGGTGGGGCCGGCACAGCTAATTTTTCTCTTTCATTCTCATCTATCAGCCGTCATTTCAACACTCATTACTCTCTCTCTCTCATATCGTCATTTACACACTCCATCCATGTCTTCTTCAGTCGACCTCTTCCCCCTCTACCTTGCACTACCATTTCCATACATCAGTTTATAGACTGAATGAATGAAAAATAAGATATTTCCACAGAAAATGACAAGTTCTGGGCCACGTTTTTTATTTATAACCCGTATCCCTTATTATACGGAGTCGGCGCAGCATGTTATCTTATTGCTTAGTTGGGTGGACAAGCCCACGACCTATTTGGTGTTAAGTGATTACCAGAGCCCATAGACATCAACAACGAAAATGCCGCCACCCACATTGAGATATGAGTTTTAAGCCTCAGTTTTACAGTACAACGGCTGCCCTACCCTTCAAACCAAACTGCATTACTGCTTCACGACAGAAATGGGAAGGGCGGTGGTACCTACCCGTGCGGACTCACAAGACGACCTGCCACCAGTTAATAGACACATTATAATTTTTAGCGGCTTTGATTTTTATTAGCCATTGTTATTCCTAGCCCGTGGAAGTCACTCGTGAACATTTGTTAAGTACGTATGTATTTCACTAGAAAAAGGTACCTGCCGGCGGGATTCGAACATCGGCACATTCGCATCGCCCGATACCAATACACCTGGTGTATTATCCTTTAGGCCACAAGGACTTCGATATGATGTTCTCTTGTGATGCTGCAATAAGGATTTGGTTTTACGACCGGCCGTCCTTGGGTTATGGGATATGTTCATGAACCAGAGAATCATAAAGCCACTAACTACTCATCTCTTAAAAATTCAACGTGTTTCATGTCTTTTTTAGTTACACATTTAATGATGGCGAGACCACGAGGCAAGTCTAGTATCTAAATAAACACATCCTTTTCTGGCCTTATGATATATGTAAACAGATTTGAATTTCACGAAAAGGCAATAATATACTAGATTCCGCATTTTTTATGTAATACATTTTCGTTTTAATTAGAATACTTTTTTCGCCGGCGACCTCATTTCGCAATAATTGCAACGCTCGTGGACTTTGATCAAGCAAAACATTGTTATATTTACAAAGATAGTGATCATTAAGAAACACATTCATCGATCAATGGCGCATCATCATTAATGACAATAGTTTCTTTTAAAACGGTATCCAAGTCGTTCTTGACATTTTACTAAGCAACTTTAATCTGTTTAGGTACAAAAGAATGACTGTCGTAATTTCTTTTGATGACCCTCGGGTTATTTCTGTCATTATTATTATTATAGTAATTAGCGACCCGCCTTCGCTTCGCTTCGGAAACAGTAATTTATTATTGATTTCTCCACTATTTAATGGATGTTATTATACATATAAACCTTCCTCTTCAATCACTTTATCTATTAAAGAAAACCGCATCAAAATCCGTTGCGTAGTTTTAGAGATTTAAGCATACATAGGGATATAGGGACAGAGAAAGCGACTTTGATTTATACTATGTAGTGATTAATTTTCAATATAACTGTTCTTTTTTTTCATGAACATTTTCTATTCTTCCAGATGGATAGCAGTTCAGAAGCGATGGAGCTCCGGCGGGAGTTGGACGCCGTCAGGAACGCGCTTCAACAGCAATCAGAGTCGGTCCTCAAACAAAGACATCAACTGGTCGAAGCCAATCAAGCACTTGTCGAAAGGGATAAGCAAGCTGTGCAAGAAAGGCGGATGAGGCAAGACCAATTAGCTTTGGTTCTACGTTCATTGGTTCTATTGGAGTCGCGTCTTACCAGAGAACAGAAGCAGATACACGTGGCACTTCAACAAAAAGAAAAAATAATTAAGGCACAACAAGAAGAAATCGGCAAGCTAAAAGCGCGTAAATCCTACTGCAGCAACTGCCAACAAATCCTCGGATTCACTAGTGAACAAACTAATATTGAGACTGATCCAGAGTTCCAAAGCTTGGAGAGCACAGACTCCAGGTTCCAAAATAATTTTGTAAGGAGTTGTAGTTATCGTGAAAGGAATTCCCCACCTGCCTTCCAGAAAAACACTAGACTAAGCAAAAGCTTTCAACTACCTAAATCGGAACTGGTCTACAACACTAGTTCCAGCGAAGAAGGCAATTGCACCAGTCTCGGTAGCAAAGGTACTTTTATCAAAAACAAACAAGCATTTGTCAGACGAGACGTCTTCAGGAGATCGAGAAAATATTCTGGCCGAAAAAATAATAAGTACCATGAAAATCCCCAGAAGAATTACGGTGCTCAAGTTAATAACAGTAGCAGCGCTGAAGAATCTATGGGCTACCAAATTAATCAAGACGAGCATGACGTTACCGCAAATCAAATAGCAAACGACATCCGAAAAGCTTCTCTTAAAATCGACCAACTCATCGGTGAAGCTGCAAAAAAGGAATTAGATAGTAAAATCGCTGATGGAGTCAAAACCTATTCTGCTAAGATGGAAGTAATGCACGGTATCAAAAGACAGGCGTCTGATGAAATCAAAGCAAATAGACAACTTTTCCTCAACAATGTGCTTAACGAAGAGAAACAAGAAAAGCCGTGGTATTGTAATGTCAGTGACCAAGAACAAGAGTCCGAATGTATGGAACGCAAATCAACTCTACATTATAAATCGAAATCTACTGATGATCTCTTAACGTCTAGTTTTCATGGCGGAATCCCAATAACAGATGTTGTGTCAGCTCAAAACGAAGTTCTTTGCAATAAAATATTAAGGAGCAGAGGTAACGAAATGTATGACTCACGTTTCGAAAATGAAAACACTAGCTTAGAATCGAGCTTGAGCAAGCAAGCTGAAAATGCTGATATCAATGAAAACTGGTACGCCAGCACCAGTGACGCTGACGAGTGCCCGCCAAATGAAATATACAAAAACAATCCTGTTTTGGAGTGCGTTAATCAAATTTTGCTTCAAAACTCCTTAGATGACAGCAGTAACGATAACTCCAAATCGAGTGAGGTGCCGAGCCCGAAAGCTTCTACAAAACGAGTCCAGTTTTCAACACTCAACAGCATATCGTATGATGAAAAAGTTAGATCCAACATGACCAATCATACTTTACCGCGTGCTGAAAAACGTGCCAACAAAATCGTCAAATTCAGCTTAGAAACGGCCTCCGAACATAGCTACGAAGTACCTAACACTGTTCAAGGTTTCCAATATGAAGTGCAAAGTATATACAGTAACGAATATGAACCTATTGTTACTAAAACAAACGATGTAAAACCGATGCCACTACCACGTTCACTGCAATCTGATGACAATACAAATGTACCTAAAATACGAGGCTCCATTGTGAAAAATATCGCGGCTAGCATTGAAAATCGAAACAATACCCCACAAGATAGAAGACCGGAGAATGAACCGGGCTCCATGAAGATATTCAACAAAAGGAAAGTGCCACGAACGCCTCCCGCACTGCCGCCTAAACCAAAGAACCTTTCGGCTAAATGGAAAACCGAAAACACTGTCAAATCGATGACAGAACCGTTAGACTCTGAAGCCGTTGCGGCTAATCAACGGGTTGCAGACGTTAAGATGAGAAAAGTGGGACAAGTGGCAACTACGAACACTATAGAACCGGACTACTGCTCCATTTCAGAGATAAATGTTCCAGTAGTCAGTAATGGCAAGAGAGAGTTGCTACTCACACAGCCAACGGTTGAGATTCACAGCGAACAATACCCTGTTCACGTGAAAAATCAAAAGAACAGTGTCGCTAAGGTAGTGTCCCTGCCCAGAATTCAAAACAAATCGAGCGACAATGACATTCCTAAACTTCCTCAAGTCACTGAAATTATAATTCCCGACGAAGACGAGAAACCGAATGAAGATCAAACTGGAACCTTCAATCGAAGTACTGATGGTTACTTGAGTAATTTTTCAATGCACGCACTGCAGCCAAAACTAGAGCCCCGTGCTTCTATACAAATGGGCAATAGTGTTTCTTCTATATTGACTGAAATTAATAAAGGGGTGAAAATCAGCGGCAAACAAATCAATTTAACCGACTTAGATCGTCAGTTCAATCGGGGACCTGAAAGAAATCAATCTAATGGGGAATTGCATAAAGCTGAATACTTTGATGACATTGACAAGTTCGATTTGTCTCAAAACTTCGAAGAATTTAAGATAGACGATGAACTAGGCAGTATCGTTGCAGAGGAATATCGCATTAGCTCTGGCAGCAGCGATGGGTCTATATCAGATATGGTGACCGAACACCTCACGAATGTACCTGAAAAAGAAATTCAGCATAATACTGAAAATAACGATGACAATGCTAGCGAGTCGTTTTTTGATAACAATGAGGGATCTGCAAACAGACCCTCGTCCAAAAACGCTAAACTATCCAATAAACCTGATCTCCTATCGAATATTGAAAATTTAGAGACTGAATCTGTAAGGAATTCGGACATTGAGTCCAGTAACTCGTCCGGAAGCAACAGCGGTTCTTACAATACCGTTAAATGCGAACCAAGAATGGTTATAAGCAATCACGAAAAGAATGCAGCTAAAACGAAAAGCTCTTTCGATTTCTTCCTGGAGACTTCTGGTCTTAGCTCTAAGTCGTTATTTACAGCAAATAGAATTTATCTCGGAATGAGGCCTCCTAGTGCTAACCACAAGAGTGTTTTGAAGCCTAAAGATATCAAGATGAGGGTTAAGAATCCGATAACAACGAACAAAATCAACGAAAAATCAATGACGACTGCCATTAAATATTTTGAACCTTATGTTTAATTTACGATGATTTATAATTTTAATGAAATATTACACTTTACTTTTATTTATTGTATAAATAAATGAACTTGCCGGCATAATATTTTAATGTACTTGTGTATTTATATTGTACATACATACTTTATTGTACCTAGTTATTTTTCAATCATAAAATATTTAACATTAGAAATGTTTGTTTTATTGTACCTGGAAACGAGGAATTGCTTTAAATGTATTTTTTGAATTAACTTAGGCTATAGGCATATTAGTGAACGCGCCCCCTAAGCTCGGAAACCGCGTTGGAGGTTCGGGTCTCCACAGTTGAAAGCCACCATTCACTATTACACACCAAACTGCAATATTAGACATCATTAAAAAACATTTTTACGTGCAGTTCAACTCTTCACCATTTCCGCATATAAAGTCGATAAGTTTTTGTTCATAATGGCTTTTGGCAACTAAAATGATTACCTACCCTCACGATTTGCCAAAAGTTGATTCATTTTAAACATAGACCTATATAGTAGGGACACGACATATTGTTCTATACGTACAATTGCTTATATAAATAGCACCCATTTTGAAGGCACATACATAAACATATATCTATCTCGTTCTTACTCAGCACTTTAACTCGCAGGAAAACAATATAACAGTATTTCAGTGCGTACATAAAATGAAACATGAATATACGTAAATATCTCCGTCTCCGTCTAATGAGGCCGAAAATCCGCCATGTTTAGCGCGCCAAATGTCATTGTCACGTCAGTTCGGCCGTCTGTTTTGGGTTGTACATTATTTATTGACTTTGATATCGATTTAATATGATTGATTATATAAAATTTCATAATTTATCATGCTTAAAACATACAAAAATAATAATTAAAACGTATTTTATAGGATCTCAAGAAAGTCGATGCCCTAAAACTATTATCTATATGTATTTAAATTCATTATGGAGCCCTCATCCGAAAAATCCATTTTTCGGTCGGAATCTATTGATCATGACACTAATCATAAATACCACTTTAAAATATGTCATCAAAACATATTTAGACATTCTGTTTAGATATTTCGGGAAAAAGGCTACCGACAAAATCTCTTCGGAACTATTTAAATAAAATAGTTTTATTCCGCAGTGAGTAAAACACTATTGTAAATTTGTTAAATATTTAATAATTAAGTGATTTTAGAGAGGAAGTCACAAGGAATGACGTTTGTAATTAATGAATAAATGTTCTGTAGGTGTTTTTTTTTTCACGCGGTCCCACGGACTTTAGAGTCAGCAAAACAATTAAAATAGATTGTTATAGTCTAAGAAAAACACGTACTCAAAATACGATAACATTTAGCATACTAGAAATGGGCTGATGGCTTTGAACTACGCCATATCTTTATGTTTTGCGACAAACGACAACTTTATAAAATCAGTGTAGCAACTTTTAAAAATCATCATATCGTTTACTTGGCAAATTCNGCAACTTTTAAAAATCATCATATCGTTTACTTGGCAAATTCGAAGGACGAACTTGTCTTAGATTTCACCCATCTAAATCATATCATATTTGCACATAACAATATACCTACTTACTTCCCATTAAAGTATAAATTCTACAAATAAATAATACTCAACAATATTTAAAATAAAATGAGTCAAGAACGTTTATCGATAAAACCGGATAACATTGAAATCTTTTGTACAGCACTAAAGCCGCCATGTTTTGTGGCCAGATGACGTCACAGTGGCACGAAATTTTGGTTGACGTTTCATTTCCATAGGTTTCCTACTTCATTGATTTTAAATAGATTAATGGATGATAATGGACTTTATACGCAATTACCTCATTCTCTGTGTCGAAATACTTCAAAGGAAAAATATAATACTGACTACTAGAGCCCTGAAGCGTCAGATTGTGCTGAACTATTTATGTGGATCTTACATGATAAAATGGGACCACCTGTTGTCTAAATAAACAAAGGGAGTAATTCGAACACTTATGGATTGAGTCCGCAGGGCTTTTATAATAATGCAGTAATAGCTATAAAGAGTATGATAAATTTATTCCATACTACTGACCAAACATGATCTGAACTGATCCAAACATCTACCTCACATGTGGTAACACAGGACAAGTTTTGCCACTTCAAGGTTGTCTGTGAACTAATTGCCCAAGTATTGTAAAATAACTTTAGAATAGTAATGAACCTTAAACATGGATGATAATAAGTTAAGCCTGGTTATGTAGGTACTAGTTTTTCCACTCTAATTTTATTTCAAAATGCATATTTTCTTTGCCGAGTATTGAATCGAATAGGACAGGCGTATAGCAGTGCATTTTATAACAGGATTTTCCTCATTACAAAATGAACATTAGGTAGAGTTATGTACTAGTGTTTCCACTCCACTTTAACTTTTAATTAATATTATATCAGATAGAAGTACAGTCCCCCTTTTTCTTTTTCTTTTACTATTACTAAGTAGATGTCAATGCTTTTAGACACCGTTTTTTTATTTTTTATTTACGTTTTAATTAGAAATGTGTTAGAAATAGAAAATTTAACAACACAGTCTTGGGTATATTTAATATAAACAATAGCTATACATTTTAAAATCATTTATTTTTCTTTTTCTTCTTTTTTAAGTTTTTCTCATCCTTTTTCAAATCCTTTTTTTGTACCTGAAAAAAATTAAACATATCCATTGAGAAACTTAAATTTTATTACCTAGTTTACTTGCAACATTTAACATTATTTCTTTAGTCGTTGGTAACTTGGGGAAGTATTGGCTGTAAGATTTATTACTCTTAAATATTATTATATCATTGGTATGATACTTTGGTTTGATAATGTGTAAGTTAGCCCATTACAAAACCTTCATGAATATCACCTTATTACCTATTTCTGCCATGAGGACTTCTATCTTATGTTTTTAGGTGCACACATATTATTATGTATATGGGCTCTGATAAGCACTTATGTAAATTTTATAATTTTGAGTAAGCCACTCAATCAAAATTATAAAATTTACATTTCAAAATTCTCCACTTGTAATAAGATTATTATTAAAAAATACAAACCAATATCCCAGTCAAATTTAAGTATGGGTGTTACCCAAGAAAACTGCTAGTAAAAATGTTCTCTTTCAAGTAAAAAACACATTTTGTTTGTACCTTGCCGTATCCACTCAGGAAGTGTCCAACATCATTGTTGGCTGGTTTTTTCTTTTTACCGCCAGTTTTGAGGACACTTTTAGCAATCATTAGCTGTTTCTCTTCTAAATTTTTTAGTTTTTCTTCTTTTCTCTTCTGCATTAGCTCTTTGTAGTTTATATATTGTCTTTTCGGTGGTTTCGCCCCTAAAAAAACATTATAATGTACTTTCATTCATGTGATAATTTAATAACTAGTGAATCTCAGACTAACTTCTATGCTTATAGTCTTATTTGTAATATATCAATTACACTAAATGCACTAAAATACATGCTCCTTTTTTGTTGTTGGAATTATATCCAAAGCAATTCTTAAAGTTCAAATAAACATTTAAATTTGTTTTGAGTGTCCACATAATTTTCACTATTTCAAAACTATTTAATTCTTCATTAGTTCATCTTGAAGTTTATTTTTACCATAGGCATATTTATGTAAAAAGAAAATTGGATTTCTTGGTCTGTTAAATGCATCAGTTTAGTTTAGTGTTCAATAACACTCCGTATAACAACTCATTTGACAAATTGGATAATTTAGAAATATCACTTGTCAACAGCTATTTTTCCCTTCAAAGTAACTCTCAAGACTTTTGAATGATAGGTGATCGATAAGAGTAAAAGAGAAAATATGGTCAAAACATTATTTTATATTTACTATAAACACCATATATATTTCCCACAAACAAAGTTTCTCATTCACTGGATCTCCTCGGTGTGTCATGATTCAGATCCAGTGGTAGATTGAGCATAGCACTGCTCTGGCGTTGTGTTAGCAAATCCTCTCAGATTGAGCACGTGAGCTCTCCTATTGGTTCGAGAGTGGCTAAAGTGGCTCTTTATGCTACCAGCGACACAGTAGGGAACAAAATCAATAGAGAATGTTAATGTACTAACCTAGACTAACCATAAGAGCAATTTTAGCTTCTTCTTTTTTCGTAGGATCAAAACCGGACATTCCAAATTTAACAACTTCATGGCGAATCTTCTTCAATTCCAAGTCCTTCTTTGAATATTGTCCAGTTTCTGTTCTGGGAAGATTTTTTTCATCCTTCGCTGCTAATTTCTTCTGCTTCGGTTTGTAGGACTCAAACTCCACGACTTTAAAATTTTCTTCAGCATTCTTTAGTGCCAGAGCAGCTTTGGTAATTATAAGTGACATTTCAACTATTTTTATTTGTTTTTCTTTTTTTTGTAGGTTATTGGTGCAATAATTAAATGAAAACAAGAAGTATAGTAGTTTTATTTTTCTAACTGGAAAGGCAAAGGTATCATACCATACAGCCTTATATTATGTTTCTCTACTCGAACTCTAGGCTCGGTTTACTGAGCTCCCGCCCCGAGACTCTCAGGGAAAGGTTTCCCCTCCTACGAAGACCGTATCTCCCAAGACTTTCATGATGATGATGACTGTGTGTATGGCAGCTTGTTTCTGCATGATGTGTGTGTTGATGTTCGCATCTAATTTCTTTATGTATTTCTGTAGGCTTTTGGCTATTACTCCGGTTGCTCCTATTACTATTGGTACTATTTCTGTGTGTGTTTTCCATAATCTGGTTATTTTGGTTTTGAGTGCATGGTATTTACTTTAGCTTTTCGATTTCTTTTGCTCCTATATTGTAGTCTGAGGGAACTGTTACATCTATGAGGTATGTTTTGCTGTCGGTTTTGTTTATATAAATATTGTAAACTATTGTAACGTCAGTTTGAACCGTTATCTCCCATATTATTTTTGCACCTTCATTCTCCTTAACCTGCGGCTGCGTAAGGTGTTCTCGCCACCACAAGTCGGAGACCTGAAACGCATGCTTTTTAGCTAGCGACTAGAAAACATATTGCACTATGTTTTTATGCCTTTTGGTGTAATAAGTGCCAGCAAGCTTTTCGCATCCTGAGACAATGCGCTGTGTGGTCTCGTCTTTAATGCAGCATAACTGACACCTACCATCAACTTGGCGTTTCATTATGTCTCTTTCATGTCGTCTGGTCACCACTGCCTGATCTTGAATTACAAATATAGCTGATTCCAATGCTGGAGACACCGGTTGCCTTTTGAACCATTGTAAGGATTGGTCTCTGTCGATATTTTCTTTTTCCAGTACGGTTTTGTAATTAACCGTGAAGCGGTTTCGCTTTTATTATCTCTATTTTTGTCTTAACTACTGCATTTTTTAATTCTCTGTCTGTATATTTTTCGTTTTGCTGTAATTCTATTTCTAGTCCACTGACACTTTATTTCATCCCATGCTAAATTTAAATTCATAGAACAGATTAGAAGAAGAAGTAATACTTTGCTGAAAGATTTCGTTATCATACCCTAAAATCGTCGAACGTCTGAACTAGCTTACGACCACCGCCACTTGAAAAAAAAAACATTTTAACTCAAATACCGAACTATATAGCGAAGAAACTCATAATAGCTCTTAAGAAACATAATGTTCAAGTACTACGTTAAGAAAATATCTTTTTTTTTGTTACATACATTTTTACTTTTTAATTAACAAGGCCTTTTTAGTTAATACTGCAAATTTATTTGTAGAATAGTTTATACAGTCTGTGCCTGTTCAATTAGAAAATATAAATTATCAGTATGTGTCAGCTGTCAGAATGCAACAGACGTCCAAAATCATAAAATGTCCAAATGTCAAAGGAGATATATTTATAAAAAATGTTTGTCTCTAAAAATAGGAACTCAGTTTTTGTTTGTTTCTACTTCTGATGTTCCAAGTGATGATTGCGGTCGCGTCTTTTCTAAATATAATGTAACCGATATTGAGAATTGTATTTTTAGAACGCCAGGTAGCGAGCGAGGCCGCTTACAAAATTTCCTACTTCAACAGCACTCGAAGTAGACTATTTAAAAATTGGAAATTAATTTACATTCCTCTAAAACATTCTGTACAATTTAATCTAGAAATATATAATTAATGACGTGGTTGAGGAAATGAGGAGCAAATTCAGAAATACAACTTCCGAAATAAAACCTGGAGATCTTTTGTTGTCAGAGCAACCATTCGCTTATGTATTATCGTCCAAAGAACAAGGAAACCGATGTGATAATTGCTTAGAAAAGTACGTAAGTAGCAAAGTAAACTATACCTTACATAAAAACTAAAATATAAAAATGTTTTAGAGTAAATACATAGAACATTTAATTTGTAACTGAAATATATTGTAATGCGAATTAAAAATGAGAGGCATTTATTAAGTTGCAGTTAGCAGTAATTTATATAATTAAAACTACTTTTATGATTTAATATCGCATTTAATATTTTTATTCTCATTATATTCTTTTCAATGTTTCAAGTACTTCTTATGACAAACGTAATAAATTCATAATTTATTTCAAAATTTAAAAACTGTAATGTTATAATAATTTTATTTTGAAGTTCTGCTCCTGAGGTCCTGCTAGTCATGTTAGTCCTGCCATCTAACCATTTGTACCTGCCACGACTTCTGTGGCCATTGGGCTTGACAAATAGTATTTGTTTCAGCATTTTGGTCTCCCATTCTAACTACATATTTTGCCCATTTTAGGCTACCAATATAAGTTTTATGATATTTGGTATGTTATAAATATCGTACAACTCATGGTTGTAGAGGTTGTTTTAGTTACAGGTCCAAAAGTATCATAAATAATTATTCAAAGTATTATAATAATCAAGAGGTGTAGATAATTATAATATATATATAAATAGTCAGATTACACATTAAACAGAAACACAATATTTTAAATTAAGAATAAGAGATTTATTTGGATGGTCTTAGTAATTTTAATTGGAAAATATTTTTTTATTTCAGAGTCAAACTCCTAAAATGTTCAGGATGTCAATTTGTTTATTACTGTGGAAGATCATGTCAGAAAGACGCGTGGGGAGATCACAAGGTAAAATTCTCATTTTATATAAAATTAACAAATAAACAAAAACAATATATAATCTTCTTGCCCTCATCCTGCTCATAACTATTAAAGTTGTATTCCGATTGATACAAATGATAAACTACTTTAGAAAGTGTTAACATGTAATTGACATATCAGAATAGTGAAATTAGTCTACAGATCTTGATGTTAGATCCTTACATTAAATAAACTTAATATTTGACAAATTTGGACTGGATTAAACTTAATTTGAATTGAGATTTCGTATGATTTTAATAAGACAATCATTGTTAGAATACATTAGAGTCTCTTCCCTGAGTTTTAAGGCCGGGAAGCAGTTGGGTCATGAAGCCATTTTTTATACAGCAAAAAGGTTATTTTCCAGAAGTTAAACTAACACAAACTAAATTAAACTGTAATTAAAACTATTTTTATGGTTTAAAATCTGCATTTTTAATCGTTATTTTATTATTTTCGATGTTTCTAATCATTTTCATGGTCATCTTCTGTTACCTAACACTAACATAGTATCTACAGATAAAGGTATTATGAAATACACCGTCACCACAAATTCTTATTAAAGTTACCATTATGTAAGTGGAAAAAGTACCATTGTTTTTTCACACTTGGAACATTGTTTATTTTACGAATTCTCTAAGAGGGAAAATCTCTTTCATAAGATTGAATGTACTCTTTTCTCTTCCACATTTTATGCTTGGCAACTGTTTAACTGTTTGCATAATAAAGTTCACAAGCACATTGCTCTGCAATACCATTCTTTACCGATTCCTCAATTTTAAAATCCTAGATTTACATAAAACATTTGTAGAATGTATAGTTGCAAAAATTTCGCAACACATTACGTAAATGATAAACATTAATCACTGCTACAATTTGCAAATAGCACTTGGAAAAGATTCAAAAAATTTGTTAGTGAATTATGTCATTAGCTCATTTATAATACAGCTAGCTAGGAATTTTTTGTGGTTGTGCTCACGTTATAATAAGAAAAAAGTCCAGACAAGATGAGCTGCTAGACAGAAGGTAGGTAATGTTATGGCATAATGAAGTCTTCATTCTATTTGTTCATGAACATATACTCTACAAAATTTAAATCGTAATTTATGTATGATAGTGGTAGTTGCACATGCATGCTTGTAACATGATTGGCCGTTAGCATCTAAGAAATAAATTAGACAATTTAAAAATTTGTCAGTCAAAAACGAATCAAAAAGTACCAAACAATGCTAATACAACATAAGCTGCCATTGGTGTAATAAACTGAAAATCTCAAGCCGTCAGCTGATTCAAATTAATTCAACATACATTATTCAATGATGTGAATGAATTTCATGGCTTGTTGCCATTTCCTGAGCTCTATAATCGTCTTACTATAACTGCGGTGCTAAAATCTATTTCTGCAAGTCCATATGTATTTATAGTTGCGTGACTAGAAATTGGTTTGTATCAATGTTTATAGTAACGATTCATGACTATATTTCATGTTTCTCTCTGGTCAATAACTACCTAATTGAAGTTTTGAAGTCGTCGTGGCCTAAGGGATAAGACGTCCAGTGCATTCGTGTTGAGCGATGCACCGATGTTCGAATCCCTCAGGCGGGTACCAATTTTTCTAATGAAATACGTACTCAACAAATGTTCACGATTGACTTCCACGGTGAAGGAATAACATCGTGTAATAAAAATGAAACCCGCAAAATTATAATTTGCGTAATTACTGGTGGTAGGACCTCTTGTGAGTCCGCGCGGGTAGGTACCACCGCCGTGCCTATTTCGGCCGTGAAGCAGTAATGCGTTTCGGTTTGAAGGGTGGGGCAGCCGTTGTAACTATTCTTGAGACCTTAGAACTTATATCTCAAGGTAGGTGGCGCATTTACGTCGTAGATGTGTATGGGCTCCAGTAACCACTTAACGCGGTGAGCTCGTCCACAAAAGCAAGCAAAAAAATAATAATTAAATTCTTTAAATATAAAAAACGAAAATGTCGACATTCCCGGTGTTTTTTTTTTTTCAATAATTGAACCATGGATAGCAGATCAACTCTTACTGCATAAAATATGACGTATTAAACAAGTTTTACCGTTTTTAAGGGTTAAGGAGCCGCAGAGTTGATTTTTCAGATTAATTAGATATTTAATCTAATCTCACAGACGACATTTGTGAATAACATTATTTAAACAGACAGACAGTAGTTTGCTACACCATTCTACCTATTTCAGCAGCCAAGCATTCGTGCGGTTTGGTTACAAGAGTTCAAACCAATAATCAATGAAAATTGGGACGTTCACCTTACATCAACAGTGTGTTTAGTGCGAGTTTTTTAACGTTCTCGCTAGCGTAAAAGTTAAGTCAAATTTTTATGCAGCTGGAACAGCGCCCCTAGCGTCAAACGTAGGCAAACGTTCCAACTCCATACAAACTTGAGTTAACTTTTACGCTATCGAGAACGTTAAAAAAACTCGCACTAAGCACACTGGTGGGCGGTCTTATCCGACCGCGACGGGACAAAGCAAAGCCACCGTCGCCCGAAAAATGTCTTGTCGGATCCTCCGGATTCACTCTCAGTACTTAAAGGTCCTTCAAGAATCGGTCACCGTCCACATCGAACTCGTCGATTACGACGAAGAATTCGTCCAACGAACGAACTAACCCATAGCGCCTACTAGTATCTAGCCGGATCTTCTCGGTGGGTCGCGATTCCGATCCGGTGGTAGATTCAGCGAAGCACTGCTCTTGCTAGAGTCAGTGTTAGCAAATTCTTTCAGGTTGAACCCGTGAGCTCACCTACTCGTTCCGGCGTAGCTGAAATAACGTCTTACGCTACCAGCGAATAGGTAGAGAGGGAAAAGGTGGGCGGTGGCATTTACAATATATTTGTATGCCTATTTTCATCAATAAGAAAAAATATACTGCTAATGTTACAGTTTCAAAAGTCGATTAACCTTTATTTTTTTATTTACAGTGGGAGTGCCCTAATCTCAAACGAGTCGCGCCAAAAGTAATCCCTGATGGCGCACGAATGCTGGCAAAGATCATCAACAGGTTGAACCGGGGCGATGGACACTCGTTTAGGTCTTTTTATTCGGCTACATCATTTAGAATGTGGAAGGATCTTATGTCACGTAAGTTTACATGAGTGATTGATGGTATTGGATGCTATATCCACAACATATCAAGATCAAGAAAACTAATAATGTATATAGTATATTTATAATTATAGTATATATACAATTTAAGTAATTGTATTTAAGAAAATAAGAGATTATAATGTAACAAAAAGTAAATCAAAATTAAGTACATTTTTCATAAAGTAATCTAAGTAAGTTTTGAGATAACATTGAGTGTGGTTGAATTTGGATGATCAGGCGAACACTGTGATGAATGTTACATGTGCAAATATTTTTTAGATTATCCAAATTTGAAAGCAGACAAGAAAAGGATGGACCATTTCACTTCATTATGCGTTGTGCTGTATGAATTTTTAAAAGACATTTCTCTACCAAACACCGTTGAGCTAATGGGGCTTTATGGACGGGTTCGTATTATTATTTTTTGTTTCTTTTTATTTGTGTTTTTTATGTATCTTTAGCTTGTGATATGTATTGTGAGCCTAATAAATAAATAAAACAAATAAATAAATAAATAAATTATTACAACATAGTAAACTATTTTACTGTTTTAGTAATGATATATTATTATAGAGGGAGTAACGGAATATATATGTCCGATCTTGTGGACCGAATGGTAAACAGTTGACGTCGCCCTAAACACGTCATTACGGATTCTCCCGATCCATTAACGGTGCTTTTAGGTACCTCAAGCATCGGTTACAACCTCGCCGAACCCGTTGCTTGCGACGAAGGGCTCCACGAGTAAATTAACCCATAGACAGAGCCCACTGAGTTTCTCGCCGGATCTTCTCAGTGGGTCGCGTTTCCGAACCGGTAGATTCTGCGGAGCACGGCTCTTGCTAGGGCCAGTGTTAGTAACACTCCGGTTTGAGCCCCGTGAGCTCACCTACATTTTAGGGCGAAGCTGAAATAGCCTCTCAAGACTATCAGCATAGGTAGAAAAAGAAACGGAATGTTTGTATAATATCACGCTTTAATATTAGGTTTACAATGATAATAATTATTATTGGTTAGGTTCTATAAATCGCATGGGTAGATACGACCACAATCACCACCATCTGTGGATAATATTGCATAAATACTAATTTACTAGTACGACAAATATGCTCAGGAAATAATTGTTATTGTTTGTTTCTGTTATGATATTTTTTAATAAACTTAATACGACATGTATGTTTAGAAAATAATTGTTATTGTTTCTGTTAGGATATTTTTTTGTCAATTTGTGTAACGGGTCTACTTTGCCACTTGTGTGACTAGCTATGTAACCTGCATTATCTGATTATTGTGTTAAATCACATTCTAATTACACACAGTCTAATTCGCATTCTTTATTAATATCGCTGAGTTGGCGCATCATCTCGGCAGCGATTTCGGTGGTAGATTCATTCGCGAAGCAGCTGCCCTTGAGCTGGTAATGCATTCCTCACAGGCGTTAGGGGAGCCGTCCTTAAAAGATCGTTTGATTGATTCACTGTCTTTGTTGGATATCTTAATATATATAAATTACGTGTCACGTTGTTTGTCCGCGATGGACACCTAAACTACTGAACCGATTTTAACTTTTTTTTAAATGTTTGTTTTGTTCCAACTTAGGCCATAGGATGGTTTTTATTTCGATTAATGGTCGCAATATTTATTAATTTTACAATAAAATGATTTCTTAAGTTGATTATTGTTATTAATTGTAAGTTTCATAAGTCTAAAACAGATGTCGCCTTAAATCAGTTTTTACAGATAATTGTAATACTGTATAACATTGATATCTCATAGATGGCGCTGTGTTAAAAATACCAACGTTTCACATAAGCTACAATTTAATGCTATAAACACCACGTGTAGCTGAGGCTAAAGTATAAATGGGTTTTTTGGGGGTTGATGCTTCCCGCTTCCGTAGGTTTAACCCGCGATTCCCTACAAGTAACCCCTGGGTGGTGCTAAACGGGAGCCGAAAACACAATCGGTGGTAGGACCTAGTCCGACTGGCTGGCGACCACCCTCCAACTAGAGTCTGCCGCCAAATAGCCTAGCTGTGTTCCGGCATGTGGGTTGGAGAGCCAGTTCTATTCCTTTCCNAAAAAAAAAAAAAAAAAAAAAAAAAAAAAATGAAATTTATTTGGTAGTAAATGCAATACAGTGAAATGCAATTGTTCTTACATTGTTAATTTTTGGTATAAGCATAGCCGGCCACGTGTTATTTAGAAACAAAAACCTTAGCCACAGCAACGTGTGGCCGGGTCTGCTAGTAGTAATTATAATTTCAGATGGTGATAAACAGCTTCATGATCTTAGATACAGACATGAATTCGATTGGTACCGGTATTTATTTGGCTTCCTCCATAGTGGACCACAGTTGCGAACCAAATGCTGTGGTCACGTTTGACGGAAAGACAATCAACATAAGAGCGATACAAAACATGTCTTACTTAGACTGGAATCAGGTGATGAAATTATTTAATTATTTCGCTATTTGGATAGAGCAGAGCAGAGCTAATTGCTTAAATCAACTAACAAATACTGATTCATTAAGAGAGTACATTTTTACTGGTGGTAGGACCTCTTGTGAGTCCGCGCGGGTAGGTACCACCACTCTGCTTATTTCTGCCGTGAAGCAGTAATGTGTTTCAGTTTGAAGGGTGGGACAGCCGTTGTAACTATACTTGAGACCTTAGAAATTATATCTCAAGGTGGGTGACGCATTTGCGTTATAGATGTCTATGGGCTCCAGTAACCAGCTAACACCGGGTGGGCTGTGAGCTCGTCCATTCATCTAAGCAATAAAAAAACAGCAATTTCAATCGAGTATATACCGTTATAGTAATCTACATCACGCTTGATTGGCTGGTAGAATCTGTGAACTATAACATTGACTTCAAATTACTATCATTTAATATGTTAAAATCCACCACTGTATTTTGTGTGCTTAAATTTGCCTTAATATTGGGAGTAGCAAAGTAAAAAATATCTAATGCGAGACTTGTGTAGGATTTGTTGTCAACAAAAACCCCTATTTTATCGAGATCTGTGTAAATAAAGGCACAGGGATGAATGGCCAAAAGTCACAATTTTACTCGTAACGCCTAAAAAGTTAAGTTAATGTAAAATAGTTTTTTAGTTCTGAAATTTAATTGTGATCAAAGTATGTAAAGTTACAGTGATAAACGCCTGAAAGTCTATACGATTTTACTCTACGAATGGATAAAAAATGACGATTTCTTTTTTTTTTTGGACATTCAGATACGCATATCTTATATCGACATGATGAAAACACCGTATGAAAGACAAAATGAGTTGTTGAGCAGCTATTACTTCTTGTGTGGATGTCACAGGTGCATCGGTAAATCCCTTAAATAATACATTAATCAGTAAATTAAAAAATAAAAACGGTCTAACTCGGCATATCTAGGAATCGTGATGGCCTAACAGATAAGACGTCCGGTGCATTCGTATCGAGCGATGCGACTGTGCCGGGGTTCCAATCCCGCAGACATATACCATTTTTTTTAATGTAACACTTACTCAATATGTGTTGACGAATGACTGTTGGTCTGACTTTTCCCGATTTTATTATACGTAACGTATTTAAGTTTCACCATAGAGCTTTGTCTGCCTGACCTCATGTCTCAAGCTGAGTGGCGGCATTTATGTGTTGTCTATGGGCTCCCGTAATCACAAACAAAAACTGAGCCGAGAACTCATTCATTCACCTAGATAGTAAAAAAAATCTGTTTCTGCCGAATTATTTTCTGTTTTTTATTACTATAAAATGCTTCCAGCACAATTCGCAGGGTAGCCGAACCCCATCACCCTAATTGGCTATTAAAGTATAATATTATTATGCTGTTGGCTTTCAGATGGAAATCAAGTTAAATATGTTCACGCCGCCAAATGCTTAAACGAAAACTGTGAAGCTCCCGTAAAGATTACCTGGAATGAAAACTGTCAGCTCGTCTTACGACCCGTGACTGAGGGGTCAACGCAAAATGGCGTATCGAACGGGATTCAAAATGGCGACTTTCAAAAACAAAATGGCGGATGCGACGAGGAGGAAATTGATAACGAAGAATTTGTTTATTGTAAAGAATGTGGAACTAAATATACGGAGAAACACGTGGAAGCTTTCATTAAAATCATGGAATTCACCAAACAACATTTAAAGAATATGGAGGGTAGTTCTGTGGCATGTATCCTTTGAAAAATAAAATTGAACATTTTGTTAAATCAACTGTGCAACTTATAATGCTACTACCAAAACGCATCGCTTCTGTATATACGTCCTTTTTTCTACCTTAAGGATACCTACAATGACTTATAATTTTAATAAGACAAGTCATTACTTCAATGACCGCGACGAACAATGTGTAAATTCAACTCGCAGAAGTAATCATCAGATGACCATCACAACCTGTTTGCCTCCACTCACCTTGAGACATGACGTCGTAGTCAGAATTGTACAGCGGCTGATGCACTCTTCAAATTGGAACTTTTAAATATTTCACCCTAGTATCAGAGCTACTTTTTTCTACCTACAACTAGTAACCTCAAGCTGTTATGCTAGCTTCTCAGAATGTAGAGGCGAGCTCACGCGGCTCAACCTCAGATCTTTCTAACATCTGCCTATTTTTACCGTGACGCAGTAATGCGTTTCAGTTTGAAGGGTGGGGTAGCCGTTGTAACTATACTATACTATACTATACTGAGATCGTTGTAGATGTCTATTGGCTCCGGTAATCACACCAGGTGAGCTGTGAGCTCGTCCACCCAAAGCCATTTAAGCAATAAATAAATAAAATGCACACTGAGACTACCTCGCTTCCCACTTTCCGGTCAATACCTTGTTACTTTTTTTTTTATTGCTTAGATTGGTGGACGAGCTCACAACCCACCTGGTGTTAAGTGGTTACTGGAGCCCTTAGACATCTACAACGTAAATGCGCCACCCACCAAGTTACTACGTCTCAAGTATAGTATAGTTACTACAGAACACCATAGGAAACTGTTTGAATACGTTCCTTAGCTGCTCGACTATAGATGTAGACGTTTGCAACTACTGCCTGGACCGTCACGAGGGCGTGCTGCATCCGTTGAACGTGATGCACGCTCAGACTCTGGACCACGCCTTCGAGGCTCACGTACAGATGCAGCTCTGGGAGAAGGCGTGTGTATACGCCGAAAGACTCATTCCGTGTTTCAGGTCAGGTATTACGTCAGCTAACTGATTACAGATTACTGGTGGTAGGACTTCTTGTGAGTCGGACGAGCTCACAGCCCACCTGATGTTAAGTGGTAACTGGAGCCCATGGACATCTGCAACGTAAATGCGCCACCCACCTTGAGATATAAATTCTAAGGTCTCAGTATAGTTACAACGACTGCCCCACCCTTCAAACCGAAACGCATTACTGCTTCACGGCAGAAATAGGCAGGGCGGTGGTACCTACCCGCGCGGACTCACAAGAGGTCCTACCACTAGTAAATCTAACAACTCATCAAAAGTATTGTGGCATCCCAGATTTGTCCCTATTCTACCTCTAGTTCCTATTCCCCCAATCTACTGTATTAGTGTTAAAATTTCCCAGACGGCCTCTAAGTCAACACACAAACGACTGTAGCTAACGATACTTAAACATTACAGGTTTTATCACGGCGACAAGAATCCTCTATTGGGCCTGTTATATCTGAAGTACGGTAAGATCCTGCTGTACAAGATGGATTTGGAAAAGGCCGTTGCGCAACTGAAACTCGCTGAGAAAATCATAAAGACAACTCACGGAGAATCGCATCCTCTTTACAGAGAACAATTGGTGCCTTTGCTTCAACAAGCCTTGGCGGAGGCGGATTGAGTGTTGATCGTTCAGTATTGGTGGGGAGCTTTAGGTACCTTCATTAAGTGTATTGAATAATTGGTTGAATTTTAATAATCATTTGACCGTCTGGTTTTTAATGAGCTCAACTAAAAATATAATTCAATGTACAAATGTACGTGTGTTAAAGAATTAAATTTAAATTGGGAGTTAATGACGACGAATAATGCTCTATCCCTTTCTCGCATAGCTTCGAATTGACAGATACAAATACAAAATACTGAATTAGCACTAGAAATAATTTTAAGGAAACTCCCATAATAGACAACTTTTAATTGTCATTACTTTTGCAATGGCAAATGTGTACGGGCAGTTTTAGTCAATTCGCTCTTCTCAGAAAAAGTCGAGAGGAGGCAAACATTAATAAATATAAACACGATCATTTGTTGAGACGACGTTAATGGTCCAGTGACAACTCTCTCCTCCTTCAGTCGTGCTCCTTATGTGTAAGGGTCGAGACTTCCTTATCAATGAGTTTCGACCTCAAAACGTTGTGCCAACTCGTCTTGTTTTCGGCTACCCTGGGAGCTTAGTAGACCATGGATTCGAGGGTGACGAGGACCTGGTCAGACTAACCCATTGGAATGCATCCTCGCAAAACTCAAAAACAACACTTAATGTTTTTTTGAATTTTTTAGAAGATGTACATAAAAGCTTACATATCAGGTAATACAGAGACGATTCGAGTTTTGTAAAAACTGTTTTATTAATTTACAGATTAGTGAAATAAATTTTACGGTTTTAGAAAAAAACAACGCGTGGCACTCGGGAACTGCCTCGGTAAAGCTATTGCATAGCATTTTTTATCAACTTATGCAATTATAATTAGCAAATGATAATTAAATATTAAAACAATAATAAAACGCTATATTAAACATTAATAAAAGCAAAACATTAACTGTCCCCTTCACACTCATAAGCTAGACTGCGCAAGAGAGAGATGGGCAGACTTTTCATGATACGCATGCACTGTGACGTCACGTCGCGCGCTTATTTACAAACACTACACAAGCGCAACGTGTGAATGTGTTGAACGCGAGCTACATAGGAGGCGTAGTGGGGGTGTCCGGTTATTTTCGTTACGGAATTTCTTAATTCAGTCGCCGCGCTCAAAGCCCGCGATAAAATCTATGCAATAGCTTAAAAATTAAGCATTCATTTGAACCTCAGTCTGTACGAAGGATGTTCTATTATTAAGTCAATTATTATTTTAGTTACAAGGCTGTGTAAGCAATAATCGAAACGTGGTTGTAGTTCATTATCATTTTAAAATAAATCTTTTGATTAATAACGATGTTTTATTTATTTTCACCGGTGATGGTGTTAATTTTCCTGTACTATATTTGCATACCTATTATTTTAATTTTATGTATCCCACGTAGCTTCACGAAAGAGGCAAGTACCAACATAGACTAGGTGCTTGAACCCCTTAAATAATTGCATCCTATCTCGCTCTAAGATGAATACTGCCGTTTTTTTGTTTCTTTGTAGTAAAACGTGTTCAGCTAATATGAATTGATGACAGTCTGCTATGAGAATTATCTATCTATCTATGGTAATATAAAAAGGAAATTATTTTACATATACCATAAAGGGTAAAGTTAAATTCAATTAATGAATTTTTTATGATATTTTATGTACCTACTCTTTGAACTTATAAAAATTCTAGCTGCTCGCCCGCTTCGCTGGGAATTTAAAATTAACATTATTATTTATTGTCATTATTATTAGGGAGTCCAACACTTATAAAAATATTAGCCTATCCATTAAGTCTGATTAAGTACACGTACATGGATACCAAGTCAATCGGATGCATGGTTCAGTAGTTATAACGGAACATCCGTAAAAAACACTGTAGATTTATTAAATATATTAATAAAGATAGTACATACCTACATGAAGTGGTTGATATTTTTAATCGTTTATTTTTTTATTGATTGAAATAGGAACGCGAACTCTGGAACGGCTTGACTTAAAGCAGTCATCATAGATTTACCGGAAAATCGATAATGCCGTATATCTTGAAACATAACGTTGAAGTTGGTATTTTTTAGTTTACTAGCTGTTGGTCTCGCCGTTTCGAAATGGATCTCATAATAAAATAGGCAGCGTGGTAATACCATGGTAGAGAAAACCGTCCTAGCTGTGGACATACATATTCGTGTTTTCCCTGCCAAAAAAAATTATGCACAAATGTCGCTTTATTTAAATTTTGGAAGGTACAGGGAAGGAGAAGTATAGGCCGTTTTCCAATTACAGCACACGAGCGCATTATGCGGCATAATGCTCAACTAAGCTTCAGCATAATTCGGCATTGTGCGTCACTGAGTCGCATTATGCTCTGTAATTGGAAAACTACCATTAAGTAACGGTTAATTACAGAGCATAATGCGACTCAGTGATGCATAATGCCGAATTATGCTGAAGCTTAGTTGAACATTATCCCGCATAATGCGATCTTGTGCTGTAATTGGAAAACGGCCATCTTGTATAGGGGATAGATCGAAAAAGTGTCCAACTTTATGCAACTGCAAAAATCTACCAAAACAACGTTATCGTAACAAGTGGTGTAAAATTAATGTAGCAATTGTAAACGGAGAGAGATATTACGAGTTGAACAATATTTATTATCACTTTAATTCACTTTTGGCTTATCTTTGATACTACCTACTACAGTGGCGCCACCCTAATTGGTTGCTTTTCGACGGACACTTCGTAAATAGAGAGTGTACTCATAACACTACCCTCCATGAGTCAAGATTATTTTAAATGAAAACATGGAGGGTAGAGTTAAGGAAAACCGTCTCATATGGGAGAAGCTTGAAAAGGTGTCCTACTTTCAGCAATAAATAACAGTTCAAAAATCCTCCAGAATGGCGCTAGCATAGGCACAGGGTATGATATGAATTGAGCAGTTGTTAACTGATTGAAGTATGCTGAGTTAGGAAATTTCATATATTTAATGACTATACTTAGTGACAGTGTAATATACAAGACCTCACATGTTTACATAGTCGAAACTAATTTCGTCAATAAAACCTAAAATTATTGCTGTGGTAAAACGTGGAGACTCGGTGGCATTTTCTTATCAGCTTTAAATAAAATACTTTTTGTGATTTTGTAGTGCTTATAGCTCTTTCGTCCTTTTTATTTCTCAATCTTAATCTAATAACATTCAGCACCTTTTTTAAAATTTACCCGGTCACTACTGTAGCGCCACCCTTATTTAGCAGATTTTATCGGACACTTTTTACACACAGAGATGGTTCTCCTTACATCTACCCTCCATAAATGAAAATAACACAATTTTTTGGCTAATCCCAACAACACATAAAACATATGTTTCCTCTTAGTTGCATTTATACAACGACTGTTCTAGCTTAGTCTTTCTCTCTCTCTCTCTCTCTCTCTTCCCAGCTATTTATCCCACATGGTGGTGGGGTCAGCTTTCCTGACTTTACTCCTCCACTTCGCTCTGTCTTCGACATCCTCGTCAGCAACATTGCATTCTCTCTTGTCCTTCAGCACTACGTCCCTCCACCTTGTCTTGGGTCTGCCTCTAGGTCTCCGACCGGGAAGGTCGAGCAGTAGCGCCAAATTTCCGACGTAGTCAGGTGGCTTCCTTTTCACGTAGCTTAGTCTTTCTATATTTTAAATATTGTATTATCCGATCCGATTAAGTGTAATACTCAAAAGGTATGAAATAAAGATGGCGCTACTTTCCCAAAAAAAATTTTGTCGCTTTCTAAGTTGACAGGCCCGTTCTAACTGTAACTTCATTTCTTTGTGCTTTGAAGTCAAATATAATACACATTGGTATTGTTTTAAAACGATTACTGCTATTTGAGAAAAAAATATAAGACTTACCGCAAGATGTGTTAATAGACATAATATGTTTAGTTATAAAAAAAACGAAATCTAAATTTGCACGTACGCAAAAAAATGACCCGGCCGGATGTTCCGGCTGGCTGCTGACAGAAATGAATGCAGGAGGCTAACGCCCAACTTTCAGGATTGAAGAGGCACTGGAAGAAGAAGAAGAAGAAGAAAAATGACACGTAATTTTTTTATCTAGTCGGGAAGGAAATGGTTTGGGAAGAAAACTTAAACTGAATGAATTCAAAACATGTCCTAAGACTTTGCAAACGTCTCAAAATTACATTTTTTCTTAATTTTTTTACTTTCTATGATAACTCCTCGTCCATTGAGAAAATGACACTGAGCGAACAGAATCAATTAACTGAGTTGTAATGTTATTAACTATAATAATTTATTTGCAATCGCACAACTATAAAAAAGTTCGGGAATTTCAAAAATTAACTATTCATAGATTGGCAACATAAATACCATTATCGATTTTATCCAACCGTTGTATTCAAAAACAATATTATTTTACAAGTGGCAACACCTATATTTACGCCATAACTGATAAGTCAAAATTTGTAATATTAGATAAAATTTCTTTTACCTGTGATTTTATATTTAAAACGTTCAGTAATTTTTCTATCGTTACCTTAATCATCTGTCGACTATTTAAAGAATTTGGTCTTTTGAAAATATGTAGTTGTAATTAGTGGAGTCCGACTTAATGATGATCATGAATAATGTTATGGTTTATAAAGCATAGCGAATGTTGTCAAATGGATCTTAGCGCTCGTTGAGTACGCTCCACTCCTCGATGTGCACCTTAAACGTGAACACAAGTGCACGCAGTGTGTCAATATAAAAGACAATGTTTGATTGAGAAACTACCGCTTTACAACAAATAATTCTAGTCTATAATATACTTCCATTTACCCTCGTATTTATATTTGCGGACAATTTCGCTTGTGTGTTCGAACTGAAGACGTGAAGATGTTCAGTAAACATTATGAGACTCGGTTACTACAGCAGTGCAGTCCTGTGGCAAGGAAACAGTCTGTACTGGTCCAGGCTGAGTTTAACAATGGTGACAGGTTCACACCCTGCAGAGCTGGAAACAATTGGCAGACAGCTTTTCAAGGTAAAATGTTCACAATATCTATAATCTTCTTCGAAGTTGCTAAATTACATATTTTATAGTGCACAAATAGGTATGTAAATAAAAATAAATTTAATTTAGTATTAGTTACTGAAATTTACTTCTAATTTCAAAAGATAGCATATGTAATGAATAATGGGTAGTTAATATTAAATATAAAATTTTATGAAACTGTATTTCTAGGATCTTCCTAATTGAATGTAAATTTTACTAATTTTTTTCACTTTAATATTGAAATATAAAATGTAACATAAAATCAGTAATATTTTTCACTCTGGTATCAAATCTAAAGAATCACATATTTTTTATTTAATTAAATTTAATGTTAAAATTTTTAGTGCTATTGAAGAAGCAAAATTATAAAATGCAATTAAAATCATAACCTCATGTCTTGTGTAATTTACATTGTGATTTCTATGGGCTCTGATCAGATATTGTCAAACTAGAGATATATAAAACAAATGTCACTTGATTTTACACATTAAATTTTACCAACAAACATTGTAGATAAGTAAGAAAAAAAAAAAAAGTTTATTATCAACAAAAAATTGTCATTAGGACAATAAAATTGTTTCCTATTTAGATATTTTATTTACACAATAAATAATTACATGTTATGTGTTTAGAGTATAGATAAAGTGACATTGACCCAATTTAATTTAAAAGTTTCATAATTGAACAATAAAAATTCCTCTACATAATCTCTTCAATCTATCTATTTATTCAGTAGAACTTTAACACTCATTTCATAGAGAACTAAAAGTAATCTTTAGTTACATTATCCTAAATATCTTAAATTTATGTCTTTGGAATATCAAGACAAAAATATTTGTGATCACTTTTAATGTCAGTATATTACTAGCGCATAAAAACCTGATTTTGCATTGAGTCTTGATATTTGCTAAATTTCACCAGTATGCCCTGGAATATAAGTTTCTAAGTGCATAGGTGTCAATTTCAAAGCACCTTTAGCAATCTTAAATTGCTTGGTGGATGTAATATTTTAGACCTTGTCGGATATAACAAAGGAATACCACAAATTTAAGTACAGCATGTGCATTTTATGAAAATTTTATAAAATAGAATAGGGACAAAAATAAATTAATAATTTTATTATAAATCAACACCTAAATTTTATGAAGTTGGATAAAAGACCAACTTTTCATCTTATTAGTTGTGCAGGTTAAAATTTTGAAATAAAAACCCAGCTTAATTATTATGTTTTTCTTTATTATTTTATTATATGAACTCAGAAATCTCTTAGATCAAATCTAATATTATAACTAAAGTTTTCTAAAATAAACAAAAATTTTTTTTTTAAAGCATGTCTTTCTCCGTACAGCGAATGTTACATTTTATGTAAAGCAACAAAACAATTTTTTTAACATAAATATGACACAGAAATAGATTTGGACTTTGCTTTTTCATCAATACAGGTAAATTGGTTTTATTTCCATGAAACTAAAATTATTAATGGCTATTTTCAAATATCTACATAAATTGCAGCCCTTTGATGTATCAAAAAGAGTGGTTGGTCTAACTTTCAAACATATTTTCTGGTTGCCTATCTGCAAATAAATCATATAGGTTCATTAAGACATAATGGCATTTATTGAATTAGAATTTAGACTTTAGCCCTTTAGGTTATGTATGTGGTATGGTAATCATTGACATCACAGTGTCTGAAGTTTGGTAACTACATAAACCACTTAACCTGAGGAGTGTATGTCCATTCATTTTTTAAGCAAATAAAAAAATCATGAGTGCCGTTCCTGTTAATTCACTATTATGTATGTAGGTTTATTATACATAATTCAGTATTTCATTAAAAAAATATTATTTGATGGGTACACAATGTAGAGACACAGATTTTGCTCACAAACCAGATCAGTCACGGTTCAAGGATTTCCTTATGTACGCCAGTTGACTGGTTATGTTTCCCACAATACGATGCCATTGTGAGCAGCCAGGCGTATTGTGAAACATTTGACACATAATATTGAAATAGTTTTTGCAAAGCTATGCTGCTTCTGTCACTGCCAAAAATTTTAAAATTAAAAACAAAAATTATATGAGTTAAAGTTTAAGTCATGTAATTTTAACTGTTAAACAAATGTTTGAGGTTTTTTTTTTATATATTTAAGTTTGGAATTTTGATTTACCAGATTTATTTTTATACCCTTAAGATAACTTTTTTAAATTTGTAATTAAAAATTTTGTAACGAGATATTTAAAAATTATATACACCAAATCTAATTGCAAAAACCCATCATCATTAGGAACTACAGTGCATAACAAGAACACAAATATACAAGTAAATTTCCTCCTAAAACAGTCTAGTAAACAGAGGAAATTGAAAATTTTTATAAACTACCATAGATCAATTGACAAGTTCTCATGTTCCCCTCTCATGAAGTTATCCATGTATCCAAAGAGCTTGGAATTTCAGTTGTGTTATATAATGGTGCCCAATTTCACTGACTGTTTGATAGTAGAAAAAGAGGGATAATTTTTACTAATTTTAATGTTTCTATAAAATTAGGGTAAATTATTATTAAAATTTGTAAGTTGATATAAACAAATTTGGTACAAACTACCTGTTTGTAGTTATTAATAGTATGCTGTCATGCAAAATCAGAGACCTAATAAATTGGCACAATGTTGAAACAATATCTTACTGGTGGTAGGACCTCTTGTGAATCAGCGCGGGTAGGTACCACCGCCCTGCCTATATCTGCCATGAAGTAGTAATGCGTTTCGGTTTGAAGGGTAGGGCAGCCGTTGTAACTATACTGAGATCTTAGGACTTATACTCAAGGTGGACGGCGCATTTACGTTGTAGATGTCTATGGGCTCCAGTAACCGCTTAACACCAGGTGGGCTGTGATCTCGTCCACCCATCTAAGCAATAAAAAAAATATTATTGCATTAGCTATAAAATTTACTACACCTGTTATGTTACATATATTATAAGAGCTCAAATCCTGGTGTTAAGTGGTTGGTGAAACTCATTGATACCATAATGTGATTGGCGTCATCTGTCACGAGACTTAAATTGTCTTCGAACCACAATTGTGAGAGGTGTATTTGGAAAGAAATTTGGCAGTTACCTATGACTCTGGGTGACAGTCGCATACATACATGCACACGGCATATTATATAGGCATTTACGGCTAATAAAACAACGATAAGCGCTGAATTAAATATTCAGAAGCTTAATGAGAACGTCCCTTAATGTAATTTTAATTACTTATACGGTTTAATATCGCCTTTAATTTTTACTTTTAAATTTATAAAGTGTCGTTGAACAATTGTATATCGTGCCTACCGTCATTTTTTCTATATAAATTTTTCATTTCACAAAGAAGGGTCTAATAGTGTGGCAGTATGTTTTATTTGTACTAGTGAAAATGAAAATCTTCGTGAACAAAAGCTTTAATTATATATCTACGACCTGCGAAAACCGAAAGAATTAATATTGTCCTCGATAGTTTAAGACTTTTCGGCATTGACATTGACATATCTATGGACTCCGATAATCACTATACTAGGAGGTTATCAGTTTGTCTGTTCCTCTTCAGCAATAAACAAAAGCCTAAGACCCAGGCTCGTTCAAGTCAATATGGAATTCTTGAAATGTTTCGTAGAAATAAAATACCACATTCCATTAAAATATAACGTATAGAATAATCCAGGCTGTTAGCAAAAATGTTCTTACATTATTCACGTTTTCGATTCCACATAAATATCAGTGTACGGCATTATTTATAAGCCAGCATTGAATGCAGTGCAGATAGGATACGCTTTTGTTGCGCTTCTAATCCGCCGGACCAAAATAGCTCCAAGTGGCTCCAAGTCGCCACTAACAAAAGGAACATGAGCCACCACAGCGCATCTCATTCGAACTCTGAAGAAATACTACGTAGCATTAATATGTGATATCAACTAATATTTTTTTATTTATTTTTTTATTGCTTAGATGGGTGGACGAGCTCACAGCCCACCTGGTGTTAAGAGGTTACTTGAGCCCACAGAAATCTAAAATGTAAATGCGCCACCCACCTTGAGATATAAGTTCTAAGGTCTCAGTATAGTTACAACGGTTGCCCCACCCTTCAAACCGAAACGCATTACTGCTTCACGGCAGAAATAGGCGGGGTGGTGGTACCTTACCCGTGCGGACTCACAATAGGTCCTACCACCAGTAATTACGCAAATTATAATTTTGCGGGTTTGATTTTTATTACACGATGTTATTCCTTCACCGTGGAAGTCAATAATGTTGAACAGACAAAAAAAATCCATTAATGTTCCGTAATGCAATCAAAACTTAATATTCTAAACTTATTGTCTATTTTGTTCGCTACCGCCTAATAGATCGTAATGATAGTGATTATAAGTAAATCTCGTACTTGCAACGTAATAATAGGTTGTAACGTTCGACACAGATTCATCGTCGCCTACCAGCGAAGGCATTGTTGTCATAATGAGTACTTTTCTAGAACTCTCCACGAATGTTAGTTAATAAATTCTCGCTTCTGTATGAAGCGTTTGTCTATTTATTTTATACATTTCAAATTTAGCAACGCAATACAATGCAGCTAGGTTATGGTTCGTTTTAAATTAGCAAGATTATGTTTTGTCGATGATTAAAGGCTCACGAAAAGGGACCTTGGAACAGAACGATGACTGACGTTCCGTGCGGTGGGTCGCTGATCCCAAATGTAAGCTATTCTTTAGTACCTGATTTTTTTTTGCCTAGGCACCGATTCCATACATTCAAGTAAATAAATAAAAAAACCATTAATATTGAAGAATTATTATGTTTACTCACTTATGAACGTCTGATTAATGATCGTGAAATAACTAATACATATAAAACAAAAATACTACTGAAGAAAGAAAGAAAGAAAGAAAGAAAGAAAGAAAGAAAGAAAGAAAGAAAGAAATCATTTATTCGCCAAGCATAGTGAAAATGAGTT